TTATTCGTTTATTTTTCAAAGTGAAGGTAACTGAACCCATAAGGCAGTATTTACTTGTGGTATCTTAATGATCAAAGATGTTGGAAGCCACTAAGTCGGAATGACTCACGATTTGACGTTGTCCAATACAATCATCTTCATTAGAGTGGGAAGAATGAGCAGGATTATTTTTCAAATGGGCATATTGAAATCCAGGAGGAGGTTGTTGTGGAGAGAATTGTGGATGCGAAAACTGCTACTAAGGTTGTTGTGGTAGCTAAGAACTCGATGCAGTATAGAAGGTCTGTATGATCTGGACAATTTTATGGTATTTTTGTTGAAAGATATCCAATATGTAGGATTAATCATGACAACACCCTAAACACCTAAATCGTGCAATGCTACTCTACTAAAAAATGCCATACTATCAACAATAACAGTAAACTTAGGGCCATTAAAGCTATGGTTCAAGTTCCTCATGAATCTAATGACATTATCATTCATATGGTTGTTCCTCAAAGAAGCAAGAACACAATGACGACAATTGCCATAATCACAATCAGTAATGGATCTAAAGTTGGCTACAGTGGCAGATCCAGGGGGAGCCGCCCCCGGACCAAGGCCCAGCCCTCCTCTAGATCCAGAGCTAGTATAGCACTTGTAAATTTTTGATTTTAGGTATTCGTTCAGTGCTCGTTAGGTTACGGCCCAGTCCTCTCCGCCTCTTTTCAAATGTGGCCTAGTGCTCTACCCTATCCTGGATATATCATTGGTTGCTTAGAGTAGTACTGATAAATCAGAGTATCTTGCTTAACATGAAAGAAAGATTCTTGGAGATATATAATTCTGAAGGCATCGCCTTGGGAGAATTATTCTAGTAACTCATTCCAAGCACCGATTGCGTAGTAACATAGATGAAGTTTTCTGCAATGGTCCGATTGACAGAATGTTGGATCCAACTAATTATGAGTTTTTTTATTGTGATTCTGAGACTCAAGAAGAAGGGAAGTGTCACTAGATTGAAGAATCTTCTCGGTCAATTACCAATATCAATTTTCCCAACTTGAGAAGTTATTCACATTCAGTGACTAAGAAACAAGACATTGACTCAATTCTCTCATGGATAGATGAATAAAGGAAAGGCAAGATTGGAGATTGATATGCCATGATAGGAAATTCTACCAAAAGTATTTTGATGATCTCTAGTGTGAGGATTTGTGGTTTCGTTGCCATCGTCAGAGGTAATCGCCAACATATGAGGATATGAAGAATCTAACAGAGTAGAGAAGCAAGAGAGGAAACAAAAGCTAGAATGAGAGTGATTAGCTTAGAAAATCTCCAATACCATGCTAGAAGAATGATTCATGACTTCATTCATTATCAAAGGTCCATCAATAAAAGTCAATGTTTTCAAAGCAGATCAACTATTACTAGGGATGGCAAAAATAACCATATTTGTATATATCCGCCCGAATTCGACCTAATTAGGTGAGTAAAATTCGAACCTGATTTTTTTATTAACGAGTTTGGGTAAAATTTGAACCTGAATATTGCGGGTATTGGGCGAGCATGGTTTTCTTACAATCCAATCCGACTCCTTCCGTTTATACACATGCATGTGTATTTTGTTTAAAATTAATCATTATTTTCACAGTGTATCCGATAATTATCATACATATATAATATTTTCACGAAATTAAATTATGTTTAACTAATTTTCTTGATTTTAGTAATTCATTGTTTTAATTTTTCACTTTTGTAATGTCAGTATATGTGCAAGTGTTAACATGTTGGTTGTTGAAGTTAATATAGAGAAATTATCATCCATGATCAACCATGGATACCCGAAACTCGATCGGATGTAGGTATAATTTTGATATTCTATCCGATTCTTATATGAGTATAAATATAAATAAAACCCAAACTATTAGAATAGAATAATAAATATAGACTATCTAATCTCGACCTGACCTTTACTCAAAATTTCATTCCACTACTAATTAGTTCAAACTTCTAAGAAGTTTCTTTTGGGCCTGCTTGTTTTTATATGTACATATATCACGGCTGGCGCTTTGCACCGAGTGTGGCAATATCAGAGCGACTGATGCAGTTTTTTTAACAAAACTACTGTTTGATTTAACACAACCAAAATTACTAGCTGGTACCGCAAGTGGAATAATTGACTGGCTAACAACAATGATGAGAAATGAAGCCGGCCGGCCGGCCATTGATCGATATTGATCCTTTATCTATTGCACAGCTTAAAGCTGTCGTGCAACAACAAAGTACGTACCCATATATACAAAGCAGATTAAATCAGATTGAATCGAATTTTTGGAGACAATTATAAATGTGTTTTGAATGTGTTTTTTTGTTTGCATGACAGCATGAGCCGAAATTTAAAAATTTGCCTGAATAGCTGTAGGGGATAAGAGGGATGGTTTCTCCTTGTACTTTTCGGAAAATGTTTGTTATGTAATGCAGAAAGAGGATAGGGGGGAGGGGGGGATTTTTTTCAGGAGCTAATCGATTCAATCATTCATTTAAAATGCACGTCGATGGAAAGACAACCTAGTTGGTAAAAGACTAGGATTTCGAGATTGGGATGTGACAAGGTCTCAGGTTTGAATCCCAGTACCACCTTCTTGGTGTTTTCCGGAGGCACCCTTTGTACAGGAGAAGAAGTATCCTCGATAACGGTAGCACAACGCTGGACACTGCGCCGAGACAAAGTCCTTGATGGTTAGTATGCAGGTACCCATAGGTTTAATAGGCCCCGCTATATCTCATGTGGCATGTGGGTTGCTAATATTCCTGGGTTATAAAAAAAACCATTCATTTAAAATGCACAAAAGTATGGATAATGATAATCAAACATAAATCGAAATAAATTCATAACAAACCATCAATTTGATTGAAAAATAGAGAGAGAGTTTGGGATAAATTCTTAACAAATCGTATAATAAACTTAATTGAAAAGTAGTAGAGAGAGGAAATTGGAATTAAAAACAAAGGCTAATTAGGATAAACTTAATTGAAAAGTAGTAGAGAGAGGAAATTGGAATTGAAAACAAAGACTAATTAGGATATGCAAAGGGGACTGTGGAGAGAAATCATTGATTGTTGGCAATTGGAATCAAACAAGGTTGTCAACCCGCGGGTTGACCCGGACCCGGTCGAGCTAGTGGGTCAAGGGTTAATGCGTCAACCGTTTTAGCACGGTTTGGCCCGGAAATATGGAAAGAGTCATTATATTGTACTTATCCTTATAAATTATATCAAATATTATCTAACATATGAGTTATAACATATAATATTACACCAAAATAACATATCGTACTTAGATCTAGCATAAAGTGAAAATTCACACACATTTATATGCATCAATATTCAAATATTCAACTTAGGATTCCAAAGATTGAGTTAGGCGAAAAGAAAAATCGGAAAATATGCGCATTTCGCAAAAACCAAAGAAAAAAATTACACAATTTGACCTTCAACCCGATACCTTATAGCGGTCGACCCGACGGGTGTGTGCGGCCCGTTTTTCTCACCGGGTCAGGGTCAAAGTGGGTCGACCCGCGGGTTGACCACCTTGGAATCAAATGATAAAATTTTAGAAAGAAATACAAAGGGGGATTGTGGAAATTTTTAGTGTCAACTATGGGTGGGTGGCGGATTTGACAGGTTCAAGGTTGTCAACCTGATTTAGCTCGTTAGCTTGGTTGAGTAAGTGACTTAAGGTTTAATGGTCCGACCGCTTTACCCTGATTTAGCTCGATATATGAAAAATGTCATTATATTGTTCAAAATTTTTTAAATTATATCAAATCTCATCTAATATATGTGTATTAACATATAAAATTTCACTAAAATAACATACCGTGTTGGATCCAACATATAGTGAAAATTCACATACTTATATAAATCTAATATTTAAATGTTCAAGTTATAATTTCAAAAATAGAGATAGGCGAAGAGGAAAATCGGGAAGAAGCGCATAACCGCACAAAGAGTCGACCCGCGAGAGTGTGTGGGCCGTTTTTCTCATCGGGTCATGGTCAAAATGAGTCAACTAACGAGTCGACCAACGGATTGACAACCCACACCCACATATTATGATGGGTTAGACTGGAAGTAACCCACATCCGTCCACTATATCTCATATTTTGATGGGTCGGATTTTAGCATATGGATGAACTTACATTATTATCTATTCCTAACATCGGGTCACAAATATACCAACTCTCTAATAAGATGGCCAGTCAATTAAAAAAAAAAACTCATCCAACCAGCCAATTGCACACTCCTACTTATACCACCTAAAGAAAATGAACTTGCATTATCTTGCAGAAAGAGGCGGGTACACTTAAAGAAAATGAATTTCCTGGTTCTTGATCTACTACGTAGACTTTGTAGTATTTAATTAACAAACAAAAAGCGCCCCTCCAATAGTGATAAATCACAATCAATATAGAAATAGAAGAGACCTTAATTTCCTTTCATAAACTAAAATGAAAAGAAAAATCATACAACTTGTGATTTAATAATTCTGACTAATGAAAGAAAATAAAGATAAAAGAGCTGCCTAACCCCCTTTTCCGTCAGTCACACTAATCAAATGAATAAAATTAAATTAAGCTTAAAGGAGCAGAGTAGGTCATTCCACAATAATGCACTTGACGGAAAAAAATAATAATATTATTATTATTTAACCATTAAAATATTATCTGTCTAGCTCATCATCGACCGCCTTTACGTAACCAATACGCCTCCAGAGTTCAGAGACCGGGAAGCACCGTGCGCCGTTTAAAATTACACAAACAGCCCTGTCGTTTCCTCCCAGCCTTGTTTCCGACAAAAAAAAAATAGGCAGGAGGCCGAACACGGCCGGCCGTGCCAGTTCACTAACGGCTGCGTAACGCGATGGTATCCCCCAAGGGCATGAACGTAAATTCTCCCCTCCATAATCAAAATAGAAACCGGGAACCCTATATATAAGACCGTTACCACTCATCACACTGTATAAACAACGACAAATCAACATTTCCTCTCTCTCTCTCCTTCTTTTCTGCATTTTCAAACCCAAAACAAAAGTAAATTCAAAAAAGAATTAAGTCGAAAACTGAGCCGGAAGAAACGAGAAATGGCTACACAGTCGACGACGAAAGCGATTGGGAGAGTTGACTACGAAGGCGGCGATCATCATGAGGCGGCGGCGGCGTCCTCCTCCTCCTCCGCTAGCTGCTCTCTGTCCGCAATTAACGAGGACATTCTCCGGACACACATCCTGACGCGGCTCGACGGCGTCGCTCTCCTCTCCGCCGCCTGCGCCTCCACGGAGCTCAGCTCGCTCGCTTCACAAGACAATTTATGGCAGAACGTCTGCCGGTCAACGTGGCCGTCCACCGACGTTCCCCGCCTCCAGGAAGTGATCTCCGCCTTCCCCGACGGCCACCGCTCCTTCTTCTCCGCCTCCTTCCCTCTCCTGGCCGACATGGAGCCTTACTCCGAGCCGGCCTCCGCTGCCTCCGAGATTTTCGCGGAGGAGCTGATCTCCGCGGTGGACATCTACCACCGCGGGGAGCTGATTTTCAGCAGGGCGGTGGAGACGGAGACCGGAACCGGGTGGTTCCGCTGCTCCCCGTTTCGGGTCGACCTGCTGGACCCGAAGGACACGTGTCCGACCCGGATCCCCCGCCCCGAGACCGAGGCAGGGTGCAGGGAGCTGGGCGAGGAGCTGACCCTGAGCTGGGTGCTGGTCGACCCGGCGGGCCGGCGGGCGGTGAACCTGTCGAGCCACCGGCCCGTATCGGTGCAGAAGCACTGGCTGAGCGGCGACGTGCACGCGCGGTTCGCGGTGGTGCTGGCCGGGGAGAAGGGTGCGGCGTCGGAGTCGGTCCAGTGCGGGATCGTGGTCACGTGCGGGGGCGGGGTCGAGGAAGGGGCGATGCACGTGAGGGAAGTCAGCCTGCAGATGGAGAACCTGGACGGGATGTACATGAGCGGGAAGGAGAGTTTGGGGGTTTTGGGGAGGGCGTTTGGTGGGGCCAGAAAGGGGATGAAACGGGAAAGAGGAAGGGAAGAAGGAGGGAGGCGGTACGAGGAGTTTTTGGCGATGAAACGGCGGCGGAGGGAGAGGAAGTTGAGAGCGGAAGGCGCCATGGATACACTGTGCATGGCTTCTGCTGTGTTCGTCTTCGCTTCTCTCGCCTTCCTTTTCCTGTGGGGACGATGAAGTTTGAAGGACCCGAAGACCTTGAGAATTTGATCAAATCGTACAGAATTACGGAAAAAAGAAAGTAATTTTAGACATTATATACATACACTTCAATTTGTTTGGTAATTTTTTGCAAAAGATACATAGTTACTTTGCGGTGTACAGTTGTGGGACTTTGTTGGTAATGCTCACATTTTACATCAATTCTTTGATACCACTAAATCTAAATGCTTATACTGTCAAAAAAAAAAAATCTAAATGCTTGAAAGTAACACTAAAATCTACCAGAATATCAAGGTGTTCCTACTTCTAAATTCCAATCGTAGGAGAGATTGCGCCAACAACTTATACTCGTAACTCCAAGAATTCAACTTACTCCTAAAATTTACTTGTCACGAAATTTGAATTTAGAGAGAAGAAGAGTTGCAAATAAACCAATTACAACTACTCCTATTGAAAATGTTGGATATTTTAGGAGGGGAAGGAATATATACCTTATTAATTTTCATATTTATCCAACATAAAAAGGAGGAATTCGATAGTCGATACCGTCCCCAAAACCTAGGTTCGATCCTAGAACAACATTCTAAGTATTTACTTCCACTCTCCACGATCTAAATTGCGAGATCCTTACATGAACACAATCATAAACTTGTAACAAACTACAGGCTACAAGTAACTCTTCCTCTTTGGTACCAGCGACAACACTAATAATGTTCACATTTACTTGCATTCCATTAGTAAATGACCTGAAAAAGGTGAGAGCTGTACCGAACTTGAATAATGCATACTTGTGAAATGAGCTAAAGAAAAACAACAATGAAAGAAGTTGACGTGTTCGTTAGCTAAACAAGCTGAATAGAGCATAAAACTTATTATTACATGTTAGTTAAGATTCTTAGTTGTTAGTAGGTGGAAGGAATCGTTTGAAATGGGGAAATTTCGGAGGATTGAGATGTAACAGCACAACTGAAGGGATGTGGGAAAGGAGGCAGGGGAGAGGGTGGGCAGGTCAATCACGAGGAAGCAGCAGTAGCATAAACGTCTTCTTCTCATGCTAAAGAGAAGTTTGCGAAAAATAAACAAGCTTATATTTGAATCAAATCCAAGCTGTCAAAAGTAAAAGAGAAAAGTATGCGTAAAGAAATATTAAAGTGAAAGATTGTGAAATGATTAAAATGAACCCATAATTTGTTGACTCTTTTGAGCGTGGATGAAATCATGATGATGATCCCATAAGATAATATGCTTACTTCTTTATGTTATGAAGGAGTGACTGTAAAGGGAGATCAAACCCAAAACCTTCAGACAGTAGAAGCTTGAAACCTTAGAGCTCCTCATCTATTAAAACCTTGGGTTGTGGTGGCTCTTCAGGAGGTCCTCTGGCAATGGGGATTCCACCCCCAAAATCAGTTTTAGGTTTGGCGTAATCCACAAAAACGACTCTTCCATTCAGATTCTGATGATTGATCGCTAGTGGGTTAGTTCCCATTCGTGATCCATCAAAATAAGGGAAAAGGGAAACTGGAAGTTGTTCTCACCTTTCCATCCATGTCAGTTAATGCTTTCTCGGCTTCATCCTCACAAGCGAAGGTCACAAAACCAAAACCCTTTGACTTGTTGGAGACTCTGTCTGTTACAATCTTAGCTGCAAATGAACAAACAAAGAATCAACAGTCTTTGATAACTAACTTTGTCCATCAACAGAGGAAGTAGAAGAGGGGATCAGCTTTACTACTGTACCTTCAACAACTTGACCATATTGTGAAAATGTCTCTGTTAATCCGTCCTCTGTTGTGCAGAATGACAGTCCTGCAACAGGGTAAGTGGCTCTCTGTAAGCAAGAGTTGCAGGCTGGTCGGTCTTCAGAATAGCATCACACTTTTACCACCGAGCAGCGGCGGAGCTAGGGTTGAGCCCTCAACTTTGAAATATAGGTAACATTACAGGTAAAATTTGTAACAAATTTAGAAAATAGAGTAGCCAGTAAAGTTTTAGCCCCTCCCCAATTATCACGGTTCAAATCAGACCCCTCGTTAAAACTTCTGGCTTGCGACTACCACCGAGACTAAGTATATGAATGGGTATTATATCATGTACTGTAAGCAGATACTTGAGTGCGTTCATGGAGAGTTACTGACTGATTCTGACATCAATACGGGACTAAGCTAGCTGGGAAGCATGAATATATTAGTGTAAACATTATCCTAAATCTCTGCTGGAAATGGGATGAGCTGCTAACAATAGGAAAGGAAACAAAGCGCCAACAGAACTGAGCGAGTTCCAGTTTCACAGAGACATTTCGACAAACACGTTACCTGCATATCAAGGTACCTAATCCAACAGCAACCAACTATGTCCTCATCTATCTACAACAACAATGGGACCCGCCGCCTATATGAATCTACTATGGTCCTTATGCGAGAAATTAACTTCCGATGACAGGGGAGAGCATTCACGAAGAAATAACCGAGTGGAAGCTCACGGTACGGGAAGCGCCGGAAGATAGAAAAGGGATATGGAGTAGTGTATAACAGCGTACCTCCAACGAAGAGTTTAGTGGCAATGGATCGGTAGGGAATTAAGATAGCCGAGGGGAGAAGAAGGGATGACGACGAAGTGAACTTGGCGAAATTTTTGCTTGCGATTCTTCTAATTGCGGCCGCCATAATAAAGTTCGAGTTTTGTGCTCAGGACTGCGACTTGGTATTGATGGACGGTTACATATATACTTCAAATATTTGGCGCCGCTACTCATGGGCTGTGCTGTCTGTGACGCGGCGAGAACAAGAAGGTTGCCGTGAGGCTCTTGTGGGCTCGGCCTACTTGTTGGAGCCCAGAGAAGGATAGAGGACAGTCACCACTGTGGCTGGGAGTGTTTGACTTGAAAAAAATTCGTTCGAGACTCGTTTTAATTGAGCCGGCTTGCGAACAAGCTTATTTAACGGTTTTGTTTTGCTAGACTTTGCTGCAGGTTTGAATGTAATTTTGTGCTCAGTTCTATCTCAATCTTGACCTACAATGAACATTTTATGTGTTGAACTCGATTTTAGGCTCATTAACCTTATTTAGCGAGCCGAGATTGAGTCGAACTCGAGCTTTCATTTTCATTAACGAGTTCAAGCTCGAGCTTACATATTAAAACTCATGACGAACTCGAGCCGAGCTTGAGCCTGAAAATATACTAACGAGCCGAGCCCAAACTATGACAAAGTTCGACTCGGCTCGGATCATTAACAGCCCTAACTATGGCACTGCCTCTAAAGTGTCTATTCCTTTGCCCCCATGCAAAAGAACCAGACATTGGTGTAGACTCTAGAGAGGTTAAGAATCTCAAATTTTATGTTTTTTTGTTATTTTTACGTACATAGTAACCTACAACTAGTCGAGAGAGGAAGCAAATAAGAAGTTAGGAGAGCTTAAACTCGAAACCTGTAAATGGATCGACATCAGTCTATGAGCTTGCAATTTCACAAAGACAGACAAAAAATGACGACAAGTTGAAGTAAACATCCAAGAGCAAGAACGAAAAGTTGGTTTCGCATGATGAAATTCCACACTTTTACAACATGTTTTTTCTTTTTTTTATAATCCAAACTTTTTTCACCACTTATGTTCGGAGTCTAGCTGGTATCTGTCCTGCACAAAGTTAAACTGCTATCGATCACCCTCTCCTCTAACAACTAAGGCCTGTACAGACGACCAAATGTTACAACCCATGTCCTTTACTGCGAATGGAAGATCCGCCAAACGGGAAAGCTTCTTGCTCTGCCGGCCACCACTCCACGCTCGTCTTCCATTGCTACTTCATGTTCATGTATGATGGACCTTGGTCAATGCTTGATAAAACATGTCTATGAATTGATCGTCCTGCCACATTTACAAGTCAAACAGTATCGAATCAACAACTTTCCAGTCGTCATGACTCATGACACCGGTTGGGGGCCAGTTGATCAAAATACCAACTCTCCAATATTGATGTCACAACTCACAACAACCATATGCAGAAGACAAACGTTCAAGTGAATGCAGTAAATGGAAATTATAGGTAAGCAGTACCTGCACAAGCTTCAGCAGGGCATCACGGACTTTGTCTCGGTTGATTAGAGGTGTAGCTGCAGCAGTAGGAGTAAGAGATGGAGGTGGGTTAGGAGGGGGGAAAGGTTGAAGCATTGGGGTACCATATGGTCGTTGTTGCATGTTTATGGGTGGATTTGCAGCAACAGCAGGAGGGAGAGATGATGAAGAGACTGATGGTGGTACCATCAGTGAGGATGAAGTAGAAGGTAGCACAGAAAATAAAGAGGGCTTCACAAGACTAGCGACTCGGTCACTGGAGCTGATTGAATCAGGGATGCCATGGACAGGCTTTGAACTTGAGATGGAGGAAAGAGATAGGGGCAGCATTTGGGGGGCCAGTGAAGCGGATGTGGCAGCAACATTCGCATTGGCAATCAATGGGGCTGTAGAAGAATGGTAGTTTTGTCTTGAGTTTGCCATAATGGGAGCAGAGTTTCCAATATTTGCTGCTGCCTGTAATCATATATCAAACGAAATTTGGGTGAAGATAAAGATAAGACAAAGGCGGATTTGACAAGCAAACATACTGCCTAATTGAAGTACTTTCACGCCCTAAAATAACAAACACTTTGGGTACCAGACAAATCTTTGTGCTATTTAATAACAGACATTCGAAGTTGCATGGAATGTTCAAGCAAATGAAGTTTTTCTTTTTTCACAAGTGAATTGTGTGGTGGGATGAGTAACATTATGCAGTAGCATAGCAAGAAAAACCTTGCAGATATCTCCATCGTTACCAACTAAATAGATGTAGGTCATTCACACCCCAGCTATTTCAATGTTCGCAATTTCTTTTCTGCACTCATGGAAAAATTGGAGTGCTATATTCTAATTTCACAAACAAAGTGACTTCATTCTCACTACGCAACCACCTAATTGGACACCCAAGAGTACATGGTAGGTTACAATATTTTCATAAGCTTACATGCACCAAAGAAGAAATGCAGAATCCAGAATGTAAAATTGTCGTGTGTATGGGTAGATAACCAAAGGTGAAAATTCAGATCTATGGTTATGGAGGATAAAGAAACTTACGCTAAAGAAGTTCTCAAATGAAACGTCTTCCGGAGCCTCAGTTGCAACAATGGCAGTTGAGGACGGCTCCAGAGGTCCCTCAATCACTGATATGTTTGGAACTGCTTCAAGCTCCTCAAACTCACTAAAACAAGATGGAACATACACAAAATAGAATTCCATATAAGCTGCATGGTTTGCTTCAGCCACAAATTAATGCCAATTTCAACGATTGCATTAGTTCCAGAAGTGTAATTTTCAGAATTTCCAATTCCAATAACATACAATTACATCCTAGATCACGTTATTACAGTAGTAAGAAATGAAAGAGTTAAAAAAATGTTTGTCGTCACATCATTCACATCTCAAGGACAAGTCAAACAAAAAAATTGCTGTCAAAATTGTTTTTGCAATCCCAATAAAGCTTTACTTTCATAGTCAAGATATGAAGAAATAGAAAATGCAGGTTTGCATATGTATGCTTCAAATGCCAAAGATCCATTCAGGATAATTTTTAAATATGGATGGATTAAGATATAAGATTGCAATCTGCTGGTCCAGTATATGACCATCAACACATATTTGGTTGAACAAGAGAGCACCAATAATCACGTATACCATTACCTTTTGCTTGACACCTTAGGTTTTGCAGGAACCTTTGAGTATGCATTGAGTATCCTGAGACAGATATCACAGGAATAATTAAACAGTAAGAAGTAAATTATAAAACTTCTAATGGCAAATGATGCTTTAAGCAGCCATCCCTGACAACTGCAACCATGCTTTCAACTATTATTCCTAGATTCTCAACACCATGATCAAATTGCAGTAAGAAAATTCAAAGCCTGGAGCGGCTTGCTCGTTTATGTAAACATCAAATGGACATAGTTTCAGGCCGATCCCACCTAAACCTCCAAAGGCAGTATAATAATAAGATAATACACACAATATTAAGGCTTCTCATTTTATACAAAAACTCCATGGTACCATTTAGAGTTGTGAATAAGAGCGTTCAATCCTTTTAGCACAAACAAAGTAGCTAAGAGATGGTTCCAAAGTTCTTTACTGAGCAGTCCAAGAACAGTTTTCTCAGTAAGGCAGCTAAAGAATTCCTCTCTAAGAACAAACACCACAATTGCATAAAATGCCTCCATTAATAAACATATAATGACTTTCACTTAGCAACCATAATTCCACTTTCAAGCTTCCGCTGAGTCTAATACATGAAAAGAAATAATAGACACGACTAACGTCTGATTTTCATAGTCAATAACTCCGTAACCATCCACTTGTGCATGCACGGGCACCAAGGGTATACAGAGAAATGCTAAACTAACGAGTTATGAACTTCCAGTTCCAAATACTTTTGTCCAACAGATTGAGCATCTTAGGACGCCCATGCTAGGCACCCGACACAAAAATCTACCATAAAGGAATGTGCCATTTACCTAGTAAACAGATTAGCAACATCTTCACATTCACGCGGGTTGTAGAACCAGATCCCATTAACCTCTTGAGATGCATTACGATACAGCAGATACGGAACCTGAATTTCATACTCAAAATCTCCCAGCAGATTCTCCACCAGGTTATCTGTCCATTTAAGAAACATGAATATTACTTTCTCAGGCATGGCAATCTAAGTGAAGCTGAACACTGCAGAGACTCAACCTCACCGCCTTGTTCAAACGAGAGAAAGGAAACACCATTAAAACTATTGCAAACCTGTGTTTCGCCGATTCATCACGATGAACTGGAAGCGAGGCTGAGTATTCCTTCAACAATAAGAAAACAGTAACAATCCAATTATAAGCACTCCATTAGGAAGTCAAATCAGCTACACTTGCCAACATCTCCTAACGCAAACAGACCAGTAGGAAGTTGAAATACCTCTTAACTACAAACAGAGATCCTTCGACATCCTTGCGGCCCTGCAATCGCAACATCGCATACAAATTCGATCCCGTCAGATGTCGCAAGTCTCTCAATCCCCTTCCGCATTAGGCTTTCCGAACTCGTAGTATAAGCCAGAAAAGGGGGAGAAATGGGGAAGAAAAAGGATGAGGGAGATTTGGTGAGAACGTACCCACTGACTGCTATCGATGTTGAACTCGTAGAAAGTGACGTGAGCGGCGGTGATCAGAATCTCTTCGATGAAAGGATCCATTCGCTGAAGCACGGTGAGATTGAGCACCTTAGTGCTCTGCTGATCCAGATTTGGCATCAACTTCCCCGGCTGAGACATTTTCCCTCCAAAGAAACCCTAATCGATTTCGATAGTTGCCGACTGCAAGCCCAGCTCTGATTCTGTGGAGTGAAGTGCGATCCTTTTTCCAGTTTACTTCCCAGATAGGACCGTTCGCAAAAATATAGGCCGAAGGGCGCCGGTTCCACGTTCGCTGTTTGTTTGTTTTTTCACTCTTTTCCAGTTCTCTACTTTGCTTCGCTCTCTTTCATTATCTTTTGCTTTACCGATGGATATTATTATTTATCCCCCGAATTCTAGGTTATTAACAGCGAAGTCCCTAAGCCAGCCTAAATTTCTTCTTTTAGCGACTTTGGTCTTATAAGTTTTCGTTTCCCCTCAATCAAGTCCCTTTTGACAATTTCCCTTAGAAACTATTGGATAAATTGCATCGTTGGTCACTGAGATTACAAAAAACGTTCATGTTTGATCACTAGAAATAATTAAATTCATTAGTGATCACTTAATTTAATAAAAGCGTTCATGTATGGTCACTCTCTGTTAGCTGTCGTCCATCGACGTTAATGAAGTCCGTTAAATGCTGACGTGGCGGACGGAATCGTCTAATCAATCCTATTTAACCCGAAAATAGTCAGACCCGATCCGCCACGTCAGTATGACCCGCCATGTCACCTAAACCAACCCAACCCTCTAACCAAATCCGACACCTGAACCGACCCCTCTAATTAAATCCCTAAACCAACCGCCTCAACTCACCTCCGCTCTCGGCCGTCGCCAAACCCTTATCGACGGAAGGCGAAATCGCCGCCGCCCTCAACCATCTCCGTAGATCCAATCCCCTCCTACTCCTAGCATCCCTGATCGATCGCCACAACCCGCCCAAATTTGACACCAGCAAGCCCCCATTCACCTTCCTATCCAGAGCCTAGAAGCATCATCTTCCAATAGCTCGCCACCAAAAATGCCGCGCAATCGATCTAAGCTCGCTTCCTCGCACTTTGCGGCGGCGGAGGGGAGATCCGCCCGGACGCTGTGCTGGCGCTGACCGCATCGCAGCTGCGGGAGGTCGGGGTATCGGGTCAGAAAGCGGGTTACCTGCACGACCTAGCGGGGGAAGTTCAGGGATGGGCTGCTGTTGGATTCGGTGATCCTAGAGATGACTGAGGAAGCGCTGCTGGAGAGGCTGACGGCGGTGAAGGGGATTGGGGTTTGGCCGGTGCACATGTTTATGTTGTTCTCGATGCACGGGCCGGATGTGCTCCCCGTGGGGGATTTGGGAGTGAGGAAGGGCGTGAATAGCTTGTACGAGCTGAATGGTTTGCCGGAGGCGGCGGAGATGGAGAAGGTTTGTGAAAAGTGGTGGTCGTATCGGTCCGTCGAGGATTGGTACATGTGGAGGCTGGTGGATGCCAATGTCGCCGCGGGGAAAGCTGCTACCAACGAGGAAGCATTGTCATTGCTTTGTGAGTCCATTGGCTATGGCCTCCATCCCTCCCTCGTTGCCGGTGAACTGGAGGAAGAGGAGGCAGGATGGAAGACTTGAGTAATGTGGATGTGTTATAGGTTTAGGGATTTAATTAGAGGGGCATGTTCTGTGGTTGGGTCTGGTTAGAGGACTTGGTTAGTTCAGGTAGGGGGTGTTCAAATGGTTACCATGGTAATTACCAAACCAAATAAGCATAAATTTTATTAATTAAGGAATACAATATCATAACCAAACCGTCCAAACTAATACAACAACCAAATTAACCAAATTAAAGTTTAATCGGTTTGGTTAAATGGTTAACTGAAATAACTAATATAATATCACATGATCATTAAGTGAGAAAATTTTCCATTTAGTGAATCAATTTGCTATTTATATAATGAATAACACATAATTATAGTTAATCCTTAGCATAAGTACATGTAAAAATACAATTATCTTACATTTAACTCTTGAATGGTTGTGCAAAGTATTAAGATGTGTATATAATATACGTTAGATATTTGGCTACTTACTTAACTAGTTAATTTGGTTTGATTGGTTAGGAGTGTCTAAAATCAAACCACCTAAACCAAACAAGCTAAAAGATTTAACCAAACCATTTATCCAAATCAACCAAACCAAATTAACCAGATACTACCGGTTAAAACAGTTACCACGGTAACAACACTGTTTGAACACCCCTAGGTTCAGGTGACATGGCGGGTCGGGTCTGGCTATTTTTGGATTAAATAGGGCTGATTAGATGATTTTTCTGCCACGTCAGCACTTAACGGACTACGTTAACGGAGATGGACGACAACTAACGGAGAGTGACCATATGTGCACGTTTTTATTAAATTAAGTTATCACTAATGGGTTTAATTATTTCCGGTGACCAAATATGAACATTTTTTGTAATCTCATCAACCAACGATGCAATTTACCCAAAACTATTCAGTGCTTCGGGGGAGTTCGAAAAAGGTCTGATAGTTGACATCAAAGATGTAGTCATCGATTCTCTCCAACGTCCAAACAATGAATTCCAACTTCTCATCCATCACCTCCAGTTATTGTTGGATATATTTAGGTACTTCCACAAGTTTTGTATAATATCATATGTAAGTTCACCTTTGATAGCCAAGTAGTGTGCGTCGTCTTTCCATAGGAAGTGAGCAAGTGCGCGAAACCTGGAATGTCCATCTGGACCTGGGATGAAGTAGCCTGTCATGAGATCCTAAACAAACTTTGAAATTTTTTGATCCGTATGATAGTACTATTGTTGCTTGGGAGGATCCTACTATTTATCAGGAGTCTGCCAGCCTATATTCATAGAGGAATATAATCTTATTTGCATACGTCATACAAAAGTAGATGGCCATGTAACACAAATCCAAATAACTGAGATATTTAGATTTTTATGCTCGTCTCGGAAGTCATCATCATATACATGATAGAAACCGATCATCATCAGGTGATAGAACCGAGGATTTGGATCTAGGGATAAGAAATTAGGGGATCAATTGGGGATTGATCTCCCAATTAAAACTAAGGATTGGGGATTGGAGAAGTGATTTAGAAGGAGGGGTAGAAGAATAAGATGCGGCAGCAACTAGAAAAAAGAGAGGTGAGGTCGGCTAGAGGGAGGGAGAGGGAGAAATATAGGAATAAGACTCAATTAGATTTAATTATTCTGCTTAGTAGAATAGATCCCACTAGCTAACTATTTATATAATCCGCTAATTACCGAATGCTACCTCAAACATTATAACCCGCCAATAATCCCCCCCCCCCCCAATGATGTTTAACAACTCATAACAAATAATCAACCGATAAAACGACAAAAGCATCAATGAGAAGCACTATTGCCTTCCGAGACAGCGAGTGCGGCCCCAGCCTTTTCGCGAGCAGTTTCTCTAGCATCTCACAAATGACCTGTACCACATGGGCCATGCTTTCCTGAACCTCGCTCAGGCTTGCGACCGTTACTCCAAGCTTGTCGACCTTGGCGCGCAACACCTCCGTGTCCATGAGACCTTCGAGAATGACGTCGACCTGCGAACCCGAGCGCTTATCCTGCACCGCCTTGTCCTAGGCAGCCTTCTCAGCCTTTTCCGCCACACTCATGGACTTGGTTTGCACCATTGTGGCCACGACGACACCTTGGCTTGAGTCGAGACTGACTCATTTAGCCTCTGATACCAATATGATAGAATCAAGAATTTTTTTCCCCGTTGAATCAGTTACCCTTTTACTATTAAGTAAGGAATTGCAAATAAGAAATCCAAACCAATACAACGAAATGGGTCGCCATTGTGGCTTCCCAGAGCAGAAAATGAAAAATGGGACAAAGATCCTTAACCATTTACCAAGTGCAAACCACTACTACTACTGCACTCTTAACAGGCTTAAATCTTGTTTCATTAGTACTTGTACTGCTGCTGCATTTCGACCATGCTCAGCATGACACCTTCTACATCCCTCTTGCCATATATATGTAATCAGCAAACAGTGGTCTAATAATAAAATTAAAGAAACCTACTATGAAAAATTCTTTGGTGAGAGAAAGTAGCGAGAGCGATCAGGTGATTAGGGTTTGTGCTGGACGGCCCTTGTCGTCGCGCTAGCGCCTGAGCCGATGCAGAAACCTTCCCCCCCCCCCCCCCCTCTTCTCTTTTCTTGAGCGATCAGTACCTCATGGCTTCATCGTCGAACATGGCGCCTGAGCTACATCCTACAAAGCCATGGGTGAGCTTATTTGGGATTTCTGAAGCGAATCGACTATGTTATATCAAACCTGAAGTTGTGAATGGTGGATAGCGGATGCCAAAGATTGTCAGAGACGAAGGTGATGCTCGTTGGAAGCATTGCCTGGTAGGTCAATTTTTGCAGGATATTCCCCCTTTGTTGGTGCTTCGACGATGGGCCAATAAACTCTAGGGGCGAGACGGCCAGGTTCGGGTTTCACTTCTTTGCGAGAATCTAATTCTCATTCAGCTGCCTTCGCAAGCAACTTGTGATTGGATTCTGGAAAATGGGCCATGGTTTCACAATGATAATTTCTTGTATCTTCGCTCCTGGACTCCGGGAATTAGTGCAGAAGATTTAGGCAGGAAGGCTCTACCAATTTGGTTGAAACTGTCGAATGTTCCTCTTGAGTATGTGAATTTCCAGGGGCTGAGTCGAATTGGAAGTTGGGTGGGTATCCCTTTGGGAGTTTATCATACCACGAGACTGGGTCGGAGGATGGGATTTGCTAAAGTCCCGATTTAGCTGCAGGCGGAGGGTCCGTTCCCACAAACAGTGACGGTCTGGCATGATGATGATCTTCCGATCCAAGTGCGTGTGGAATACTGCCATCTACCCCCAGTATGTCCTGTCTGCAAGTTGTTTGGTACTGAGTGTCATGGTCTTGTTCCGGGGCAGAAGGTATGGGTGGCTAAGTCAGGGCAACAGGAGCAGAATGATAAAGGTAAGGAGAGAGTGGAGGTACCCCCTGTCTCTCCTATCCCATTGGTGAATAATGATAGGGGGGGTTAATCTTGATGTATCTTTCTCGGAGGTTTCATCCCCCTTGCCATCAGCAGTTTCATCTCCAAAATTGCCCTCTGAAGCTGAATTTCAGAGAGTGGTTCATGGAGCCAAACCTCGGATCTGGTCCCCGGCTCATAGTCCTACCAGTGTCTTGCACATTTCGCCTTCTTCATTCAGTGTTCTTGCTGATCAAGGTGAGGATGCAGTTGTTAGGCTACAGGATGCTCCAAAAAGAAGCACTAAGAAGGCGGGGCTTCAGCCCTAGTCCTCATCATGAATTGTTTATTCTGGAATGTTCGAGGATTTAACAAATCCTCGAAGAGGCAGGACTTCACACAAGTCCTGAGATGTCTGAAAGTCAGTATAGTGGCTATTTTGGAGACCCGTGTGAGACAAGTAAAGTCTGAGGAAACTTCTGAGAGTTTTTTAGCTGGCTGGGAGCGATATCTGAGCTATTCTGATTCTGATTTAGGTCGTAGCTAGTTGTTCTGGAAGCCGGAGTTTAAAATTACTATTCTGAAACCGAGTAAGAACTTTCTTCATGCTATGGTTCAGGAGTAGGGTGGTGACTCTTTCTTTTTAACAGCAGTGTATGGGGCTAATGATGAATTGGAACGCATAGTAACTTATGCTGAAATTGGTCGAATAAAAGTAGATGGATTCCCTTGGATAGTAGGAGGCGACTTCAATGCAATCGTGAAGCCAAGTGAAGCCTCAAATCAGGTGCCTCTTACTTCAAGTATGTCAGATTTTGAGGAGTGGAGGAATAATATGGAGTTGGAAAATGTGAATACTATAGGACCTTTGTTTACATTGGTTAATAATCAGCAGCTTACCCCTATTGCTAAGAGGTTGGATAGAGTTCTAGTGAATGTTCCCTGGTTGACAGTCTTCCCAAATTGTGTTACTGAAGCGATTCCTGACACATTTTCGGATCATTGTGGTATATTAGTACAAATTACAGTCCTTGAGAAGACCCTTCCAAAACCATTTAAATATTTTGACTTCTAGGGTGATCATCCTGAGTTCTTGAAGATTGTGGAGGAGGCGTGGTCTGTTCGTTGTCATGGTAGTTGACTCGCTCCTACCATCACTCTAGAAAATGGCCAAGTGTAACCACTTCCTAAAGCGTAGTATAGCGGGTTTGGGTTTTAATGTCAACCCGGGTCCTAAGTGTGATGACTACTCCGTGAGTTTTTATTATTTAGCAGTGAAAGTGTAGTGCAGGTCCAAAACAAGCAAACAAGCAAAGCAGTTAAAAGGTTGTTTTCAAGTCGAGAGAGGTCACCCGGATATGGTTCCCCCTAGATAGCAGTTAATCCGAATTGTAATTTACCAATTTCAATTTCAATGATAGTTATATTGCGGGAGGTTCTTAAAAAGTCCTGTAGTCTCGATTAAAGGTCTCTAGACCCTCTCAATATGAGTCCCCAGCATGCGACTAACCTCTACTAGAGTAAACTGATTAAGGCCCTAACGAACCAAACCTCCACTACCGAAGTAAATTCGGTACAGAATAGTGAATTGACTCTTCAACTAAAGTCGTCAATTCACTACCTTCAATCAAGGGTGCTCTATCAACCTAGGCATATATTCTCTTTCTAGGTTAAAGCAGAAACAACAGGAATTTGATCAGGATTCATGCCATTCAACAAATCAAACCTCAATTGAATATAATCATATCACTGAATCTGTACTTGGGTTCATACAATCAGACCTAACATACAATTATAGGGTTCTTCATACCCAGGTGAAAGAGAAAGTTACTCCATAGAGAGAGATGGGAAATCTAGCTCAGATGAGGAAACCATACTGTGAAGGATGAGAATCTGCTTCTGGCACTCAATCAGCTTTCCTCCAAGCTCAAGCCGGGCTCCAATGGTGATGGAGATCGATCAAAGACACTTGCAGAATCAGGTTTGTCACTTTCTCTCTCTAGGTATGCGCTTTATCTCTCTAAAACTCGGAACTCTTCACTTTTGCCCTTCTTTTCCCTTAAGAAGCTGTCTGTCGCGATCCCTGACCTGAATACCCGGTCGAGTATTTTAGGTGGAGACCAGGTATTCTCAAAATGCACCGTCGGGGCAGGGGGTTAATCCCCGGTCATGGTCAAGAATACTCGACCGGGGATTTAAGCTTCACGACCGGGCCCCCCCTCTGCTTCTCAAACGCCCAAAACAGGTTTTCCCCGGTCTGCTCCGATTAATACCTGGCCGGGTATTCCAGCCCATAGCCGGGTATTTTGCTCCTCCAGCACACTTCAACTCAAACGTGCTCCTTTCGACCCGAAACTTGTTTCTTCGCCTCGATGTCAATGCCAAGCCCTGAAATATGACATAAACACACAACCTAGCGTGAAATCGGCTTAAAACACGAGAATCAACATCTCAAACGGCTCAAGAATAGGGGTAAAAACATGTACAATCAATGGTCTATCAAATTCCCCCACACTTAACCGTTTGCTTGTCCCCAAGCAAACCTAACTCAAACCAATGCAACTCTCCAGACCTCTATATCAACAAACAACCCCGATCGTCGGTAGAGGATTTCCTAGATCATAAAGAAGCTTACGAGGTCAACTGGTCTTATAAGATGTCCCCTATCTCTCTCAATGCGAGTACTAGACTCAAGCCAGGATCATGAGAAGAAGTAGAAGTAAGACAGTCAGTTCATGGATAAAGGGACTCACACCATTCACAACCAAGGACTCGTTGTACCGGGGTGCTCTTTCACTTCATTTCATCGTTGGAACCTTTTTTCACTTTCATTTTACTTTTTTTTTCTTTTCTTCATTCACTTGGCGGGGGTTCCAACTGCAGTCTTTTGCACGGTCGACCCTTATTAGTCGAGCAAGAGCAATTTCTGTACATCTGGCACTCGCCAGAGTACTTCTTTTAACTCCTTTTCCTCAACTCGTGTGGAGGGTCAATGAAATTAAGGGGGGTCGGAAGCTCTATCCGTGCCCTTAAAAACACATCCTCGAGTAGGAAAACCGTTCAACGGGTGAAAATTTTACTTGTACTAGAGACAGCTTAGCTTCACCTTGTAGGAGTACCCCACTAAGGATCACTATAATCTCTTCCAAAACCCGATTTTGTGCAATGAACGGTGCCACACACGTTAGGCTTACCCCATGTTTAAGATTTCAACAATTTTGACATAGAAGACCAACTGCTTTTCATTTCCCACATGAGCACCCTGTTCGATACACGAGTCCATAACACAATCCAAATAGAGTCACCATTACCACATGAATTCAACGGTCTTAGCTCCACTAATTCACAAAATCAACTGGCACAGCAGAGAGCTAGATAGGAAAAATCTTATACTTCAACATCCTCCATAGTGCTACTCTACCTCCCTAGGTTGCACATTACTATAGAGACTGTCAATTCAAAGCATACTGAGCATGCAATTTTCAAGGAAACACGTACTTGGAGCCCTCAAATCGAAATTTGGATAGTGGACTAGGCTCCAAGCACACAAACATATCTAATGCAGTCAAAAGAGAAACACCCCCCCCCCCACACACACTTAAGGTCGACATTGCCCTCAATGGAGAAGAGGGAAGGTAAAGGGGAACAATGTTACCGGTGTGCATGGACTGCATGAGACTGGAAGAAGACCAGTCTGATCGAAGAGGACTGGAGAGGGGACCATTCAGGACAAGGCACAGCTAAAGGGAACAAAAGAACTCAAACACAATACGTTAGGTCCAATGGCCATCCCAATAGCACATCATCCAAAAGAAAAAGAAAACAAACCATGGTGGGGTTGCCTCCCCACAAGCGCTTCTTTACCGTCTTTTAGCTGGACGCCT